GTCTAATTATGCTAATATATTTGGTGACTGCGTATTCATATATAGGAGGCTTTTTTTGTGCGTTGGTGTAATGTACTCAGGTGAATATGATGCTTGTGATGTTACTCTGAGTGTATATCCACACCGGACAAGCTTGAAAAATATGCCTGGCCACGGTGGGAATCGAACCTACGACCTTTGGAATACTAGCCCAATGCTCTGCCAACTGAGCTACGCGGTCAGGTCGGTTCGAGTATGTGATATTTCGGAACTGAGTCTAGTTCCTGATATAGGAGACTGGTGGCTACTATATTTCGTGACATGTAAATATAAGGCGGGAGGTGCTGACGTCGGTGCACACAATACTTTACACGAGAGAAAAAAGTTGGTGTAAACGTTGTACATGCGTACCCATGAGATCTCTTTTTCCTTTCTTCATCAAATAGTTTTCTTTTTTCTTCCTGTTAAATAAATAGAAGTATTTTGTAGCCACAAAATAGTTTTTATTTATTAAACAATCATCAATCCATTCGTCAATCTAGCCATATGACACCCATACGATACTTACCGCTTCATCGATTCTCCTCTGTTCATTTTCAAGTCTCTCTTGTTCTTGTTTCAACATGGCAGCCTTCAAAGTAGACAAAACACATGTTCAAAATGAAAGACCAAGAAATCCCTTTGACGTTAGAATATTTTGCTCATCAGTGACCAACTCAGTGGCCTATATTTTGCTCATCAGTGACCAACTCAGTATGGCGTCAAACGTCACTCAGACGAGCAAGTTTTAATTGACAAAGTTATTTTCTTTCACAACTTATATTTATTCGGGTTTTCCATGACAATGACTAGACAGAAGGTTAGCCTGCACGCAGTCCGAAATTTCGTTCTAAGCGCTTCAAATTTTCGGGTGGGGGCTGCTGAGCAGGCTAAAGGCCTGATTCCACGACGGCGAAATTCTTCGCGCAAAATCGTGTCTGCGAAATATGAATGGCTGCACATGAGTGATTCTATTGAATTTGATTTTTTTTTTCGCTTTCGCAGCGAATAGAACTGACTTCTACTCACTGGCGAAGCGAACTTTTTTCTCGCGAAGCCTAATTCATCTTTACTGCGCATGCACGATTTCATTTCGTGCATTTCGCCGAGAAAAAGCGCTCGTGGAGTCGTGGAATCAGGCCTTAACAGAAGATAAGATATTCAAAATTTAGACTACCTCTTCCTCTCGTATTTGCAATTCCTTCATTTGTATTTGAAGTTGTCGAGCAGCTTCTTTTTCCTCCCTAGGAACAGAAATATTATAAATACTAAACAAACAGTCAAACAAACAAACAAACACAAACACAAGCAAACAAACACAAGCAAACAAACAAACAAACAAACAAACAAACAAACAAACAAACAAA